GATTGTGAAACTTCACCTCACATATTCTGGTCATGTTGTTAGGAAGGGCCAGTCCTTGGAGAAGGACATAATATTTGTAAAGGTAGAGGGTCTGCATAAGAGAGGAAGACTTTCAACAAGATGAATTGTCAAAGTAATTGTAGCAATAGGCTGAAGTTTGTCAACATCCTTGCCTCCAAGAGCTGTCTGGTTTCACTTTCTCCAAGATAGGCTTGTTTGTTTTCTTGGCAGTCATGAGATAGCCATCACTTCCAACACCACAACTCAAATGCAACGATTCTTCTTCTGTCATTCTTTATCATTATCCTGCTTTCAAATGCATAGCAAATAATTGAGAAGATCATGGCTTAAATCAGTGCACCTTAGTTTTTAAACTGACATCATTGCTCTTTATCACTTTGGAACAGTCCCTGACAGCAGATTTTCCCAATGCAATGTGTCTTTTGTTTTCTTACTGGAACCAAAGGTGTTAATTGTGGATCCAAGTAAGATGAGATTATTGATCACTTCAATCTTTTCCCCATCTATCATGATGTTGCTTATTGGCCCAGTGGTGAAGATTTTTTGTTTTCTTGATGTTGAGATGTAATCTGTATTAAAGGCTGTAGTCTTGATCTTTTGCAGCAAGTGCTTCAAGTCATCCTCACTTGAGCTAGCAAAGGTGTGTCATCTTCATAAAGCAGGTTGTTGATGATTCTTCCTCTAATCCTGATACCATGTTCTTGAGGTAACTAGTTATACAGATTTAAAAGTCTTACATTATGAAATACATATCAAGTCTGTTCAAGGTCTAATTCTGAATAAACTTCAAAATTGTTAGACTGTAGGATATTATCTTTAGAAATCTGGGAAAGAAAAAAATTTTTTTATCCATGATTACAAAACACAAACCATAATAAGGATTATTGATGAATCGAATGTATTATAACTTAAGCCTTGATAGAATGAAGTAAACAAAATTATAGTGCCACAGATTCGAAAAGGGTATCTTAATTCACCTAACCAACGAGTATTAGTATCAGAGTTAGTATACAGTGAGAACTTCAACAAACAGGTATGGGGAAAAATAGTCAAAAGAAAAACAGGTGAAAGATATGAACAGTTTTAATAGAAAACTCAAATAAATGAAATTACATTAAAAAGTTTAGCTTTGATATCCATGAGGAAAATTCAAGTTAAAAAAGCAAAGAGAATTGGCTTTGTAAACTTTGTTTCAAATAATTTGAAAAACTAAGAAACAAAAACCTGTAAAATACCTTTGTAAACAAATAAACTTTTAAAACCTCCAAGAAATAGCATTTTCTATGCATCAGTTTTACAGAAGTTATAAAGTTGTAAATATTTATTACTGATAATTATATTAAGTGGTAAAACTTCAGAATAATTTTTAAATTGCAATATAATTTAAGATGCACATATTGGCAATTCAACCATTTCACTCCCAGGTACACCCAAGAGAAACTCACGCAGTAAGTGTCCCTGCAACATTGTTTGTAAATACAAAAATCCTGAAACATTCAACAGTAAGAATAAACAAATTGGACGGCCCCGTCCCCTTCTGGGCGCGCCTCTCCCAGGAAGCGCCTGGCGTCCGGCCGCTGGGCGCGTGCCCGTCGGGTCGCCGCTGTCTCCTTGGCTGTTGGGGTGGCGTCCGAGGTCCGGGCCGGACGCCCGAGGTCACCTCGCTGCAGAGGCCAGCTTTTCCCTTGGAACAAAGTGGCGGAAGTTCTGCACGCTGAGGTGGAGTTCAGCCGGCGAGGAGGTGGCGCCTCCTGGGTGCCGCGGGGTCTAGGCGCCGGGGACTGGACAGAGTGGACAGCACCCCCTGCCCGCACGAGGCGTCCATTCTGAGAGAAGACGCAGCAACAGAAGTGAATCAACTGTGCGCTTACTGCTTCTGTGGCGTGGAGACCACTCGTGTGGACCTGGGTGCCTTAGAGTTCAATGGCCTGTCCTCCTGGCGTGCCTCTGGGTGGACTCGAACGGCCAGACTGCTGGTTAGCAGCCGAGCGCAGTCATCATTTGCACCACGTGGGGAACCCCTCCTGTTTAGCATCCATTCAGTTGA